CTTCTGAACCACCACAGTGGGGTTTGAAAGCGGGATCCCAGTTCTGGGATTGAGAAATTGCTCACGGCACTCTAAGCCTCTTTCCCTGGCTTATAAACACAGGAGGCAATGGGTCCCATTTCATCCTTGCTGTACACATTAAGTGGGGTGATTTATACTAAATGCCAGCTACAGTGCCTGACCCTTCAGAAGCCATCAGTAAATGGTAGCTAATGATAGTACTAAATACCTTCAATATATCTGTCTCCCAGCTCATGTAGGTAAATCATTTGCCCAAACTCTCCAAAGTGTCATATGCTAACACAATTATTTGAAACTATAAAGGACTACTTGAGAAAAGTTTGAGGTGTTTTACTCTCTAAGTAGATTAGAAAATGTTGCAATTTTAAGGAGAGACTCGCCATGGAATGGCGATGGGACTAAGAGACTACTGGTAAGGAACAGCTGCACTGGGCAGGTTGTGGCAACTGCAGACTCTCTCCTTAGAGAGCCCCCCTCCTGCAATAGAAGTAAAACAAAACAATCAATCCAGCAAACTGGTTTCATGAGAATCAACCCATGCCAGACTGATTCCATTTCCTTCTGTAATAAGTTTAGAAATACGAGCAGGTGAAGGGTATCAGCTGGGTCTTCAATGCCAACCTAGGGACAGCGGGATCTAAAAACGTAATTGCGTTCTGCTGGCTGCTGAAAACAATCTCCAAAATCAGAAGCAGAGCTTCAGAGTTGGTTGTGAGTGAGAGGAATGGGAGGCGGGCAAGAAACTCAGTTGCGGAATTGGCATAAAAATAAGCCTCCCACCACCCACAACGAAGCGCAGAACTCTCCCCCAAATGCTGCTGGAACGATTGTCATACGACACGCCCTCTGTCTAGATGGGTGAAAGCTGAAGTGAGAATCTAAGGCTGTGTAGAAACGGAGCTCCTCAGTAGATGTGGTTGTGGAATTGGGATTGGGGGGGAGCGCTGTGGAATCTTTAGGCTGGGCCACAAGTTTCCATGGAGTGGGTTAAAGTTGGAGGACAGGTTACTTAACAGAAGGGTGAGGACAACACCTGGAGGGGGAGTCTTGGTGAGCTGACTCAAGTTGGGGGATGTCCAGCTGCAAAGGCTACAAGGAAGAGAGCAAAAAGGAAAGGTAGGAACAGCCAAGGCAGCTGAAGGGCAGGGTAGACTGCCCGACTGCTCATTAGGTTAAAACCTTCACCAGTTGATTCCCTTCTGGAGTAAACCTCCATGGAGCCCAACCTCGAGTTGCATATGCCCTGAGTGCAGAAGACAGCGAGGAGTTAGCACTCCGGTTAAGGTCACCAAGAGAAAGGCCGTTCCCATTTGACACTAAGGAAGAAGGGATTCCTGAGTACTGAGGGAGGTACGTGGTTGAGGGAGTTTCCACATGGGGACAATTGATCTGGGAATCCACTTGCCCTGCACAGATGACCTCTAGGGTCCTCTCCAGCCCCAGTTCCTTAGGACAAAGGCGTCTTGGTTATTTTACAACCTGTGCCATCTTGAACCCATTCTGGCATTCTGGTTCCCTATACAGCATGGGCACCATAGGCTGTGGGGTTGGGTTCACTGGAAAAGCTTCCACAGGCGACATATGAGGCAGGGGATGGCTGAGAGGAACAAAAGAATCCTGGCTAATGGCCCAGGGTGGCAGAAACCCAGCAGTTTCTCAGATGACCCAACCTGACTGACGATGATTGTTTCCAGGCTGCAAAACCACAGCAAACAAGCCCCTCTTCGGTCCCCACCAAATACCAGTGCTCCATAAAACTCAGGCTCACATGACCTATGAGACATGCTGGGACAAAGGCGTCACAGAAATGATGGAGTGGCCAACCAATGAATGGTCCAGCTTGAGCCCCACGCCATGAGAAGGAGCCCACCCCTGACACTGCCTGGAGGGCCAGGACCCAGGTGCTGGACAGCCCAGAGACCTAGGGTAGAACCAAACAGGACTAGCAAAAAAAAAAAAAAATTAAAGTTACTGAAATGATTCCTAATGATATTCTGCTATACTCAAAGATTGGTGCCTAGCCCAATAGTCACCAGAGAGGCTTCACCCAGCATCTGATGAAAGCAGATGCGAGACCCACAGTCAAACATTAGGCAGACCTTAAAGAAGCCTGCAGAAGAGGGAGAGGAAGGATTGTAGGGGCCAGAGGGGTCAAGGGAACCACAAGAAAACCCACAGAATCAACTAACCTGGGCTCACAGGAGCTCACAGAGACTGAACCAACAACCAGGGAGCCTGCACAGGACTGGCCTAGGCCCTCTGCATATATGTGACAGCCGTGTAGCTTGGTCTTCTTGTGGGACTCCTAACCATGCAGAGTCTCTGCTTTGGGGGCCCTTTGCTCCTAGTGGGTTCCCTTGTCCAAGCTTAATAGTGGAGGAGGGCAACTTGATACACCATGGGCTGGCTGATATCCATGGGAGGCCTGCCCTTTCCTGAAGGGAAAGGAGAAGGAGGAGTAGATGGGGTGAAACCAGGAGGAGAGGAGGGAGGGAGGGGAAACTGGAATTGGGCTGAGGAAAAGTAATTAATTTATTGATTAACAACAGGAGTACAGCCTGATGACACCTTGTCTGGAGTCTTGGAATCCTAAGATCTAGCCAAGCAGTGCCCTGTGTTCCAACCATGGGAACTGAACTGGCAACGTGGATTGCTTTCAACTGTTCAGTGTACGCTAATTCCACATGCAGAGATAGAAAGCATACATATACCCACTTCACTGGGTCAGCTCTGTGTGTGCTAAGTTCAGAGACTGACAGAAGGTACAACAACGCCTTTATTCTCAGCACTCGGGAGGCAGAGGCAAGGGAATCTCTGTGAGTTCAAGGTCAGCCTGGTCTACACAGAGAAACCCTGTCTCGCGGGGGAAAAAATTAATAATAATGTGCAATACATAGTAGTTGCTAAATAAATAGATGGCATATGGGGGAAAAAGAACTTAGGCTCATGCAAACCTTATTCATTCTTGATCTTCAGAAACACCCCTCCACTTGAGACTTATTGAAATTTCTAGGGAAGTAAAATGCTGCTGCCAATCTAAGATAGCATGCTTGGACTGAAAATGAGGCCCTCCCTCCCTCCACCAGATGACACGGTGCCACCTACATTGTAAGGCTGTTCCTGTTTAGAAAGATTCCACCAGGGGCTGGAGAGAGATGGCTCAGTGGTTACGAGCACTGACTTAGAGGTCATGAGTTCAATTCCTGGCAACAGCATGGCGGTTCACAAACATCTGTAATGAGATCTGGTGCTCTCTTCTGGCATGCAGGCATACATGCAGGCAGAACACTGAATGTATAATAAAATCTTTAAAAGAAAAAGAAAGGAAATATTCCACCAATGAGTGTGCCCATCCCTTGTCCTGCCTGCTGCAGGAACCAGATTCCTTGATATATAGACTGAAAATAGTGAATAAATGTTGGGAGAGACCTGAGGAGCATGTATGTGCTTATTGAGCCAAATCTATAACAACTTTGACACCGTACAATGAACACATGCACACAGGTGTACACCATCGCCACCAAAACGACTGTTCTTCTAAGCTGTACTTTGTTCTGTTAGCTGAATCTTTCCAACTGTGTTTCCTCACAGCGCTCCCTGGCCTTGGACTCTACAGGGAAGTATGACACTTTCTTGGAAAACACTGTGACAGCTAACATTTACAAAGCCTTCAGAGGCTCTTGTCATCTTCCTTCTGACATTGAATTCAGCCCAAATGTCATTTGGGGACCTGCTGGACACAGCAGCAGCACAAAACAACCACTGTGGTCACTGATTCGTTTAAGATAAATCCAGTGTTAGCACAGTTTCTCAGGCAGGCAGGGGAGGCTTATGTCTATCTCCCAACTATGGGGAAGGAGGGCTGGAACAGGAAGAATGCTTGAGCCCAGAAGCTCAAGGCCAGTCTGGAAACTAGAGCTAGATCCGGTGTCCTATAATAATAATAATAATAATGGTTGTTATTATTATTATTATAACAATAGGATCAAGTGTTGGTACCAAAGGTGGGGATGTCTATTCCCAAGATTAAAGTAATGCTAGCACAATGGGATCAGGCAACAGAACTTTAAAAACTCAGGTTTTGTTTTTCCATGTGATGTCACCAACACATTTATTTAGGGTCACAGGTCAGCCTGTCTCAACAGGGCCTACCTCTGCAATATGTTTATGAGTGCCTGCTACACTCAAATCCTGACTTGTGACTACACCAGAAACATCTCTGTAGATCCTTGTTGGATTTCTGCTGTCTAAGGAATGACCTATGAGAGTCTTTATAGTCAAAATCTCTTACGTCTTGCTTCACAGAAGCATCCAAGCATCTTGGGATAAGGAGAGAAGCCCTTTACTATGACATAACTGCCCAGAAAGTGAGCTCCACGGTAGCATTGGTGGTGGGCAGGCATGAATGGTACCCTAAACTAGGTTAGGAATTTGAAGCCCAGCCATGGGGCTCATTCCCAATAGGAGGGATGGAGGAGGAGACAAGAAGGCTCCACCCAGACGCATCTGCTCAAGATTCTTGTTCATACACCAAAGGTGTGAGGGCCAAGTGACCCAGTGCATGGAGAAGCAGCCAGTTGAGTACACAGGTGGCCAGAAGGGAAGCTGGACCAAAGGTGGGTAAAGGCCATCTGTTCAGAGAGGTGGGCTGAGGACTAGGTTAGTAGCTGAAGTGGGCTGTCCTCCCACCTCACCCACCCACACCGGGGCCAATGCATATGCTCTGGTTGGCTGAGGCCAAGAAATGCTGGGTGGTAGGGATGCAGAGGGTTAGCTCAATCCTCTGGGAAGCGGTTCTCCTTGACCCGGCTCCCTGGCCTTGAGTCTGCCAGCTGGTCAGCCGGCAGGTCCTACTCTGTCCCTCTGTCTCCATCAACCCCACCCGCAACCACACCACGGGGTTCCTGGCTGCCTCGGGCACCCCAGCAACTCCAGCTCGCTGCGGGCAGCCGGGCCTCGCGGGTGCGGGGCTCACTCACCCGCATGCAGGCCTCCCGCCTCGGGGCCGGGGCCGCTGTCCGTGGCCGCGGAACTGGGCAGCGCGTCCGAGTCGGTGTAGGTGAGCCAGGTGGACTCGGTCTCCCGGGTCCAGCTCTCGTAGTAACGGGGCTCGATGGCATCAGCCCGGCTCCCGCCGCAGCCCATCCTCCCGTGTTGCGGGCGAGCCCGGCGGCCGCTGGGCTTGCGGCTGCGGATCAGCCTGGGCGACGCAGCTCTGGCCCGCGAGGAGGCGGCCGCAGCGGCAGCAGCATCGGTCCCCTAACTGCCAGAGCTGCTGCCAACGCCAGGCTCCCTGAGCGCCGGCCGCCCCTCCTCTCCGCCTCCAAGGCCCTCCTCCTCCCCACTCTCCTTCCCCAGCTACCCCCAACCTCGCCTCTCCCACCACCTCGCTGCAAGTCCCTCCTTCAGGGCTCTAGAAGAGGCCATGCTAAGGAATAGCAGACAGGTGGTGGGAAGAGAAAAAGGGGTCCTCTTCCATCCTCAGTGGACCTCCTAGGATCCCATCCATCCATCCATCCATCCATCCATCCATCCATCCATCCATCCATCAGTCCCTCCCCATGCACCCACCAGCTAATACATCTAGCCATCCATCCTTCTATCAAACTATCTCATTCTGGATAGCTCTAAAGCTCCCAGAAAGTCACTCAAGATTTCTGGCCACTTGTTCTAAAAATCAATAGATGAACGTTGCACTTGAAAATTGGGAAGGCAGTGTTGTCACCGAATGTTTAGTTAGAGTCAGTGCCTGTTTACAGGGTAGGAAGCAAGACCCATGATTTCAGACAGTGCAGTTAGACACTCGTGGCTAACACCTCTGCCAGATTGGCAGCCTCATGACCTTCTGAAGTTTGTTCCCAAGAAATCAAAAGATCACCAGGACCGTGCACCAGCGGGGACTCCAAGGAATGCTCACTGAATAGTAATAACAGAGCCTCTTGTAGCGAGTAGGTACAAGCTAAAGAGAGTCCAGTCTCTGGTGGAGGTCCCTGGGGCAGGCACTTACGGGAGTCTATGGGGTGGAAAGGAACACAGACTTGGAGACTTCAGACAAGTCCGGGGCTTGTTTCCAGAGTGAGCAGTTAACCCGGATGGCTGACTCCACCAGCCTGTGACAAATTAGAGGCCCTCTGACACCTTTTGCTTCCTCCCCTGAATATCTTGGTATAAAAATGATCGGGTCCTCGTGAGGTCCTGTGGTCAATCTCCATTATCAAACTGATGATGAAGTAAAAAAGAACCAACTCCCAAAGAGAAATCTGGACATCTCCAACAGAGACCGTGTTTCCTTCACTTCAGCAACAGAGAACTTTTTCATAACCAACTATCTGGCAATGTCAGCACAAGAGTGGCTGGAACAGAGAGGTTCTTGCGTTGGAAGCTGCTTGGAGAGCTCTAGAAAAATCAAAGCAAGCCCTGGAACTCGGACCTGGTGAGCAAAGATGAAGTAGAACAGGCTGGAGCCAAAGACCAAAGGAAGCATGGGGGGGGGCTTTATTGGGAAAAGCAGGGAGGGGATGGGGAGGGGGGAAAGCTATATCTCACCAGTAACCTAGATCTGCTCCAGGAAACTGTCACTCAAAACAGCAGACAGAGAATGGATGGACAGAGAGGCCAGCATCGATTTTGGTGAGAATTTGCAGTTGAAAGGATGGCCAGTTACTGAGGAGGAAAGTAGTAGAGGTACCCGCTACTGCTTTCTAGAAGGAGTCTAGAAATGACGGACAAGTAGAGACTTAGTTGTCCTCCCTTTTGGTTTTACTTTTTTTGTTTAGCTAACCTCAGTCAACTGAATTCCAACACTATCATGTGCAATAAACAATTCATGTTTTAATCATGCACCATTCCAAGGAGCACGGTGAAACATTGCACCATCACAATCTATTCTGGCTGAATACAAACCACCCCTTTATCCAGTGTGCCCATGCTCTGTGTACACCTGCCCAGCCAGAATGCGAACCTGGGACGCCCCTGAAGGCCCACGTGTTAAGGCTTCATCCTCAGGTTGGTTCTGTTGAGGCTGGAGAAGCTTTGAATTGTAGAGACCATTGGGTGGTCTTCCAGACTCGTAAATGAAGTAAACAACGGTATATATGTACAGGATGGAAGTTACTCAGTGCTACTGTCACTGCTCTTGTGGGACAAGACACACAACATCAGTATCTCTGAAGAAGAAAGCCCCGGGAATCGTTCTCATCAGACAATGCTTGTGAATTTACCTAGCATAGAGTGTAAGTTTGGTAAAGGAAGCTATCTTTATGTTTTCAATTTCCTTTTTCCTTCCCTTCTGATGTTACAACCAATGAGCTTCCTGCAAACAAAATTCCCCCCATCATTCCTACATCATCATCCACCAGGCAAAGTTCTGTTTTTCCAAGGACTCACTTCTTGTCGGTGTTTAATACCAAAGATTCAGCCACTGTTAGTCCTATGAAACCTAGACAGCAGCCAGTCTGTCCTTGTGTTCACCAATTAGCTGAGAAACACTTGTAGTCAGGCATGACGGTACTGCATATCTGTAAGTCTTGCTTGTGAGGGGCTAAAGGAGGAGGGTGGATGGGGAGAGCCAGGACTGTATGTTGTAGTTGGAGGCTCCAAATCAACCCAAGCAAACACAAGAGGTTACTGAAAGGCAAGATTTAATGCAGGACAGCACAAAAGAAAGGGGTGGGGGGAGGGGAGGGGCTGATGGATCAGGGCTGCAGAACAGACTTGGGGGCTGAACAACGACCCCAAATGCCAGTCGAAGCAAATATTTAAGCACAAAAATCACAAACATATGTTGCCAAGTTACAGATACAGTCTTCACCAATCAGGATTTAGAGATTAGGGGCTTCCTTGAATGTTTATCATTGTCAATTGACATACAAAGCAAGCTTTCCTTCCAACCAATCTGATTCATTTGTTCCTTCTGGGTTAGGTACAGTTTCTAGAGAATTAAGATGAATAACCACTATGTTTATGGTTGAAGGAGGAGGTAGGTCAGCTATTGGAAGATACCCAGCTCTGCTAGGGCTTGGGGCTCTGAACTTCATTTCACCCTACAGGTAAACTGGAGTCTGAAGTCAAAATGGCAGCGCATGCACAAAACTCAAGTCCAAATGGATCAAAGACCTCAACATAAATCAGCCACCCTGAACCTCTGAGAAGAGAAAGTGGGAGGTTCTCTTGAATGAATTGGTACAGGAGACCACTTCCTAAACATAATACCAGTAACACAGACACTGAGATTGACAATTGACAAATGGGACCTCCTGAAACTGAGAAGTTTCTGTAAGGCAAAGGACACAGTTGACAAGACAAAACAGCAGCCCACGGAATGGGAAAAGATCTTCACCAACCCCACATCTGACAGAGGGCTGATGTCCAAAATACACGAAGAAGTCAAGAAGCTAGTCACCAAAACACCAAATAATCCAATTAAAAAGTGGAGTACAGAACTAGATAGAGAATTCTCAATAGAGAAGTCAGAGCACACGCTGTCTCTGCAGAGCTGCAGCCTCCATCAGATCCCCAAGCCTGGCCTTATAGAATGGCTCTCTGCTCTTTTTAATGGTTTTTCGAGACAGGGTTTCTCTGTGTAATCTTGGCTGTCCTGGAACTCTTCTATAGACCAGGCTGGCCTTGAACTCATAGAAATCCACATGCCTCTGTCTCCAGACTGCTGGGATTAAAGGTGTGTGCCACCACCACCCGGCAACTCTTGGCTCTTTTAGTTACTATTCTCTAGTTGGGAACTGAATTCTCTTCCAAGCCTTTAGCAATAAATTTTAATAAATTAAATGGAACTGTGTACATCTAGTAAATGGCATAAATGATAAAGTATCTGTTCAGATTCTTTAGCCTGACTGCCATGAATCACCTATCATTTTCCACAAAGTTTTAAAAGAAAAAGGGCTACAGAAAAGAAAGAAAAAAAAAGACAGTTTTTTAAGAGAAGAGGAGGAGAAAGAACTCTAAAGAGCAGAGGGCTGCAACTGGGAATTGACAAACCATGGTCAAAAGTCCTTGAGGCAAGTAAATTCTGAGTTAAAAATTATTGCCAGGGAGACTGGGGAGATTTGTCTGTGGTTAAGAGCTCTGGCTGCTCTTCCAGAGGACCTGGGTTTGAGTCTCAATGCTCATACAGTAGCTCACACCCAGGGATCTACCTCCTTCTGATCCCTCAGGCACAGGCACATAGACAGTACACAGACATACATGCAGGCATTAAAACAAACAAACAAAAATCATTTATTTATTTACTGGCTGAAGGGTATTTGTTATGTGATGGGATTCTCTAGGTAAGATATCTGTGACTTTAAGACCCCAACTGGTGAGTACCACCTCTGGCTTGTTTCCATGGAAACCCAAATGAGGCTTTAGGGCACAAAGCCCTTCTTCCACCAAGGTCTCATTTCTCTGGCCCAGCACAACTGGGCTCTGTCCAACTGTCCTGAATAGAATGGAGCCCGTCGGTGTGGCAGAGGATCACAGAAGAGGGGCTCAGCAGGAAGTTAACCCCCCTTCAGGACCTGCTCTCAAAAGGGGTAAAGATGTATGTAAGCACTACCTCACAGTGGAAAGGTGACCCCGGTGAGATGCAGTAGCAGCAGGGATTCTGGGCCATTGCGTACACATATTCTCTCTATATATATACCCAGTGTTTGTCTTTAGCCCTGAACCCCAGCCTCTGATAGTCTTGCCCTCCCCTGCTCCCCATTCAAGGGGCTACTGGAACTACAGCCGCAGACCCTCACTCCACCTCCCCAGGCTGAAACCCCTTTCCACAGGACACCCTGCCAGGTCCTCAGGCTTCCACAGCAGATGGCTCCTTGTTGATCTACAAATTACAACGTAGTTATGGAGAAAGGGAAGCCGAAATTAGCATCCCGGGGCATAAAACCGATTCAGTTTCTACTTGGGGAGGAAAAGCGACTGGCCTTTAAAGGACATTTGAGTCTCCCCGGAAGTGAATGGTGCACCTGGAACGCAGGTGGAACAGATGGATGGAGTAAATTCTGTGACAGGAGAAAGAGGCTAAAATAAGAAAATTGCAAGAGGAAAATGCGATTTATAAGAAGGAAATGGAGGGGGGAGAAAGAAAGGAGGGAGGGCGGTAGTGGGGGAGGGAGGTGGGAAGACAGCAAAGGAGAAGGGGGAGGAGAGAAGGAAAGAGGGAATGAGTGAGGGAATGCGTGTGCATAAAGGGAGA